CCACCTCCCATACCACCGCCGACCATACCACCGCCTGTCATACCACCGCTGACCATACCACCACCTCCCATACCACCGCCGACCATACCACCACGTCCCATACCACCGCTGACCATACTACCACGTCCCATGCCACCACCCTGCATAGACATATTTAGTTGATCACTAAAAGCGTAAAATACTAAGAAGTATTTCTGTCTTTTTTTCAATGAATGAAGACTGAATGCATTACATATATTTATATAAGGTTTTTTTTGCTCTTAGAATTATAGAGAAGACGTGGGATTACAAAACGTTACTCAACCGTAACAAAAAAATTGCGTATTGAGTCGATGGAGACATAAACACAAGGTATGCCTCCAAGTTTCTTTCCATGGGTTGTTGTTGATTTCATGTGCATGTTAACATAGTTACATACAATGACGTTTACTTTGAAAGTATTATTGGAAATTAGCCTTTTTTTTCTATGACTTTATTCCTCTTAAATAATATTCAACTTGGTTCTGCTTCTCTGTTTCAATGAGTAATCATGTTTTTCATCCAAAGAATATATGAGTAATCATAATACATTGTTACTAATGTTTTACCTTGTCAAGTTGTTAATATTTTTCTCTCATCTACTCGCCAATATTATTTAACAGCATATTAGATTTTTATTAATTCATCGAATAAACTAAAATGAAGTATTTAATATTTTGAAATACTTATTGATTTAAAAAGATAATCACAAACTAAAAAAACTACTTAATCAACAATACTCAGTCATGCAAAAAAAAATATTTTCTTAATATTATTCATTTCATATATAGATTTAAAAGACCAAAATAAGTGAAATTTTTCATTTTTATGTTTAAATATATTCGAATAGAATAAATATTAATTCAAAAGTATGAATAGAGAAAAACAAAACATTAAGTCATACTAATAGAGAAAGAATGTTTCACATAAAAATGACAATAGACCAGATTTCAGCTATCTGGATGAAAATATTCTTTTCAAAATATTCGAAATATCTAGACTAAATTAACCTGAATAATCTTTATAGATTTTGAAAAACTAATGTTACGATAATCGCAATATCTTTTAACAGTTTATAAATTAAAACTAAATATATACATGTTTTTATTTGAGACGAAGAAAAACGATAGAAATCTTGATTAATGAATCAAAAAAATTACTCATTCTATTTCGTCAAAGTAAGAGCATAACGAAAAATAATTTTTTCAAACATGTATTATAAACAAGTTGGAATATCTGTCGACATTTAACTTATAAATCTACTATTGAAATATAAAACAAGACAGAAAAATGTTGATGATATCAATTAGGTTATAGATACATTTTTATTTTTATTCCATATAACATATATGATAAGAAATGATTCTATGTATGTGAAGAAAGACACTTGATGACAAATATCATGTAAGTTTAAAGATATCGATAATAAAAATCTCTTTATTTTTTCTTCTTTCTGTTATGGGAGATTTTCAATCATACACTCAAATTGGATTTGAGCTACAATATTATATAATGTAGAATAATCACATATAC